CACACCCTGCCATTTGAACAGAAGTCTGTTCACACACACACAAATAAATAAATAAATAAAAATTAAAAAAAAAAATCAGACATCTTAGAAGAAAGGAAACAACTGCTGAATGCAACAAGTCAGGAACAAAAAAAAACACCCACAAGAAATAAGATAACTTTAAAAGTAACAGACTACAGAAAGAAAACCACATGATCATATCATCTGAAAAGTAAAAACATTTGACAAATTCCAGGGTCTACTCATGATATACTTCTCCCAGGAGTAAAAATTAAAGGAAAGTGCCTTAATCTGGTAATAAAGCATCTCCAAGAAAACCCCGCAGCTACCAGAGTAGCTGACAGTAAAAGACCAAACATTCTCCTATGATCAGGGAGAAGGCAAGGGTTCCCACCTTCACTACTTCTACTCCACATCATACAGAAGTCCTGTCCAGAAGAATAAGGCAAAGAAAAGACATAAAAGGGATACAGATGGGGGGGGGAGAGAACTGTCTCCATACGCAAGCAGTATACTTCATAGTATAACTGTGAAGAAGGCCACAGAACTAATTCATTTTTTGGTACAACTGCAGGGCATCAGTACAAGATACAAAAATCAATGGTATTTGTACATGCTAGCAATGAACAAATGGAAACCAAAACTGCACAAGACACCACCCTAAACTAGCCACTCAGTACCTGGGCTGGCCCGCACGCAATGCCGACTATGTGCTTGGTGTCCAGTCCTGGCAGTGCAGCAGGTTCTGGCTTGGTCACACGCAAAGTGTCAAAGTGCTGGCACTGGTCATTGCTCCCCCAGCTGTGCACCTCGCTGTCCTCAGTGAGAGCCAAACAGTGGGTAGAGCCTGCAGCAACATCAATCACCTTCTTCCCTGTGAGAGAAGAGAGAGACAGGAAACAGCTTTCAGTCTGCAACTCTGTCTAAGAAGACATTTGCTCCCAGCAACTGGGCATTTAATAACTGCTTAGATCCAGCCCTAGCCCAGGCTTGGTGAGTATGTGGGAGAGCTTCCAGCTACCCTATGCAGTGGGACCTGTCTGGTCCAAACCCAGGCACCCAGTGTGAGACCCTCTTCCGCACCCTTAGGACCCCCCACCACTCCGCAGCCGACCCCCCCCAATGAGTGAGAACTTCTGCAGCATTCTTGGGACCCCCAGATCCAGCCCTAGCCCAGGCCCAGCGAGTGTGTAGGGGAGCTTCCCCTCTCCCCTACTCCCCCTTGTCCCCTTCAGACTCAGCTCAGGCCTGCATACAGGCCTGGGGTGAAACTGCAGCTGCAGTCTGTGCAGAGAGAGTAGGGGACAGAACCACCCAGCTAGTCCAGGAGCAGAATATCTTGCCAGAAGGGCACAACAGATTCACCCCCAAGGGCTGCAGCAGGAAGGAGCTGAGCACAGCAGCAGACCGAAGCCAGCCACAGCTAGATGAATTCAAACTTTGTAGATCTGCATCTGAATAATAACTGCTTAATGGTAACCTGTTCTTTTAATATTCAGCACAGTTCATTTGCGTTGAATATACTCTTAAATCTCATGTTTCATCGGCTTTTACTTCTGAAGACCTATAGCTTATAAATAAAACTACACTAAGATCTGTTTTTTCTTTCTCCCTCTTAATTGAACTTCATTCAGGATGAGATCAGAGTATCATTTAATAATATGAAGTAATTTATTAAGAACTCCAGTGAACAAAATAGATTAAGAACTCAAAACTTCACCTTCCTAGCTTTATTCTTATATGATGAACTTCATGGGCTTTTTTGATTTGCAAATACAATTTATTTTACAGAAACTCAACACTATAAACAGCAGGCCCCGCCCCCTGCCCGCCTTGCCCCCCACCCCAAGGGGTACAGGCCATGCTACGCTAGGTGAGCCGCGATGCAGCCACTGCTTTGGAGCGAGATTCAAGTGCAACAGCCCCGGCCTGCACTGCCCTGCCCTCCAGCCCGCCCGCTGCTGCGCAGGTCAGTAGTCTGTCTGGGCCCAGCTGATCTGGGCCAGTTACATGTTTCCAGCCCAGTTCTCCAACTCCTTCACGTCTTTGTCTTCCTCTTCTTTCTTCTGGGCGCATTTGGATGGCAAGGCTACTGAGGGAACATTTGGTAGAAGAACTGTTTCAGGACCACTGGTCTCCCGCAAATTCTTGTCGAGCTCCTCCTGTTCTAGGGCTTCCAATTCTGCCATGAGCTCATCCTCATCAAATTCTTCTCCAAGCCCTACAGGTCTGGTAATAGCTGTGGAAATCTCCTCTGCAAGCTCTTGCTGGTCAGCACCATCTGCACTGACTCATCAACTTTATTCATGTCTATGTTGTCATGTGCGGCCTTCATGGCCTTGGCGATGTAGCCATGTTCTTGAGCACCTCGGTGCTGGTGTTGGTGTTCTCCAGGGCCTCCCGCTGGAACTCGATGGTGGACAGTGTGCCGTCATCAATCTGCGCCAGCTGACCCTTGGATCTCTTCTTGCACTTCAGTGCCTGGAGGGCCGTGCGCTTGTTTTTGGTGCCGTGCTTCTTGGCGGCTGCCAATTCTGCTCAGTCTTCTTCTCCAGGAACTCCTGTTTTTTGCTTTGCATCTCCTCCGCGTCCTGTAGTAGCTGGATGGCCTCCTGGGGGTGTTGGGCTGCCCTTGCCAGACTTATCCCCACCAGCCCCAAACAGCTTCATGAACAGTGACACAGTTCTGCTCGCCACACCGGCCCTCGCTGCCCACTCTGGATCAGTTAGGCTGGGCACAGGCACCCGCTCCTGGCCCCACTGCTCCCTGCTGCCGCAGGTCTCTCCTCTGCCTCATGAACTTCATGTTTTAAACAATAATAACAGTTTTTGAAGTGTACAGACTGCTTCTGAAATTAATTAGGAAGATGACAGAATTGAGTTTCTTTCCCCTTCCACACTGCGCAAGGATTTTAGTGGCTTAGAAAGAACCTACTTAAAGTAACACAATAGAAGCTAAGATTTTGTAAGTACTTCTGCAGCCTCTCTTCACCAACTCTTAGACTGATTTCAAACAGAAAGAATTGTTTTTTTAACATTCTAGGGCACTAAGACATTCTCACAAATACTCACATATAATGATGTTGATGATACAATGTATTTTTCAGTAAATATGAGCTCAATTTTTTAGCCATAACTACAACTATGCAAAGCATACTCCTCACTGAGGAAGTTTTCTTAAAAGGAACTGTTTTTCTCCCCCAAACTGTATGATATAAAAATCTTTAAAACATTTTTCCTATTTAAATAACATTAAAATATTACATTTTTCCTTTTTTGTGAATCTAACATAATATACATGAGGCACATTTCTGAGCAATATCAACACATTATTCAGTGGAAAAGTACTATAAGAACAATCTATTCAGAGACTGCAGAACATTGGGAACGACGAAACTACCTACACAAACTTAAATATGCTCACGGAATAGGCTATTCCTATACCTAATAAATGAACTGAGGAAGTGGATTTCCCTTGCTAATGGAGGGAAAGATAAACAAGAGGCAAGTGAAATTACAGTCCCACAACACACAGTAACCTATGTAACTCTACAACCACCTCAGAAGCTTGGAAAATAATACACACTTTATGAGCACACAAGCCTCCTGAGGCTCAGGCTATCCACGTGCTTTACAATGAAACTGGTGGTGAAAGGAAATGGCAAGCCTCACCTAAACGTTTCGTAAACCAAAAAGCATAAATGAAGAATGAGCATCAGGACCCACTAAGCTTTAATCTCATAGCAAATGCAACTGCATACCTGTTTTTATGCATACAGCCAGGCTCCTTGGTTAAAATACCTACAGTCTAGCCAGGGACATAGCTCAGTGGTATTAAGCAATTGCCTGGCAAGCACAAGATCCTGAGTTCGATCCCCAGTACCCAAAGAAAAAAACCCCTACACTCTAGTCCTTAATAAAAAGGCTCCCCACTCTTGCACTAGAAGAGAAAATGTTAAAATGTTAAAAATCATCTGATGTGCAACCCACTTACTTCCCCTTCTTCTTCCTTGCCTGCTTTTTTCCCCCCTTTTGTCTCTTTGACACGAGGTCTCCTATGCAGTTCAGGCTGGCCTTGAGCTCACATTATATATAGCCCAGGCTGGTCTCAAACTTACAATGATCCTTCCGCCTCAGCCTCCAAGAGTGCTGGGATTACAAGAGTGCACCACATCCAGCCTTTCCTTGCTTTCTTGTCAGCTTGTCTGTACTTTATCAGGTCTTCATTGGAGTGGAGTTGACCTACACCCTCCACACCAAGCAATACAGAAAATCCAGCTTTCCCCTTTCAAAGCTTCCTCCTACAGGCCAGTGGCTAAGGTTCTGACAGCCCTCAACCTGCTGAAGCGTGCATCCTCCTTAGTAAGACTGTCATAGTTAGCACTGAAGCGTATGTCCCAGGAGTTCCCAACTTCTCTGCCCCCACTTCAGAGGCACCTGCATGCCCCAAGGATAAATGCAAATCAGACCACTCCAAGGAAACCTGATTTCGCCTCCCATACAGGCCCACAGCACAAAGCATGTGCATGGTTCCTGCAGTGTACACATGTACATATCACACATTGAGAAGCAGCTGCCATCCTGAGCCCAGCTTCCTAAGTGATGAACTCTTCAATGTTAGAAAAACTGAATGGGTATCAAACTGAATTTGAGGCTGGGAATACAGCTCAGCAGCGTAAATTCCTGCCTGACAAGCGCAAGGCCCCAAGTTCAATCCCCAGGACCCCCCCCAAAAAAAAAAAATCAAACAATTTGGTAAAAATAATTTTAGGCTACTTCATGATACAGACTAACCACTTTCCAATTATTATCTATACCTACTGAGTTCTTTATCAAGTTTCTCATGACAGGCCACTCATGAAATGTCAGGTAAGAAAAGAAAAATCTGCAGTTTCAAAGATTGGTAAAGAAGCTGCCCCATAAGTTTGCACGGGTACTCACCTTGCAAGCCTTCCAAAAGTTTGGGATAACGGACATGTTCCTCTGTTCCATGACCAAGTCTTTGATTGTCACCTTTTCCCCATGAATAAACTTGGCCATCTTTTGTCAAAGCAATTGAAAATTGACTTCCACAGCGAACTTTGACGACATCTAAATCCTGAAGCTTTTCAATCAGCTTTGGCGTTTTGCAGCCATCACTACCACCTCTGCCCAATTTGCCATAGTCTCCATCTCCCCAAGACCACACTTGTCCTAGAAAATACAAATGCATTGGGTAAAATTAACTGTTTCTTTCCATGGACATTTTTAAATGGTTGAAAATTACTGAGGGTATAGGTCAGTGGCAAGCACAAGGTCCAGAGTTTGATTCCCAGTTCCAAAACCCAGAAAATTATGTAACCAATAACCCATAAAAGTCCAAATCACCGAAGTATACAGTCAATACTCCACTGACCAAACAAAATCAAATTTATACTTGAGATTTTAAAAGAAGCATTTAATAAGGAAAAGCTGATTTTGTTTTAATTAAATTTAAAAAAACATTCCAACTCTATGCGCAATAATACTGCTTCAACTAAATGCTGAGCACAAATCAAAGCGCTCCACTGCCCCAGAAGACACCAGAACAAAGATCAACAGCACACAGCTACAGTCCCCTGACCACTCTCCAGCTACCCAAACACTTCTGTCCCCTCCATGCCCACGCAGGTTAATGATCCACTGAACGTGTCCACTACTTTTGTCAGTGTGTATACACAACGCTGAAAGGCTTGGTATACTCTCAACACTCTGAATAAAACCACACTGCTCATACAGCCCACTTGGCCATCCCTACTGTCCTAAGTGAGCCCACCACTCCAGGGCAGACTGCACAGGGTGGGATGCTGCTACTACACCAACTGTCTTGAAATCCAATAGTGCAGCTGGCACATTTCCCTGTGAGATTTGAGGCAAAGAAACACCAGTGTGAATAGGCAATGTCCAAAATGCTATTTATGACAATTTAGTCAACACTGACAATGTATTTTCGTAATATATCACTTTCACATCAAGAAAGCCAACAAAAACATCCTACCACAATTTATTTAAGAAAACACTTCTGGAAAGACATAATGGTCTGTGCCTATAATCCTAGCTGCTCTGGAGGATAAGGCAGGAGGACTGCTTCAGGCCAGGTGTTTAAGGTCAGTGTAGGTAACAAACCAAGACTACATATCAAAAAAAAAAAAAAAAAAAAAGAAAAAAAGAAAAAAAAAGAAAAAGAAAAAAAACAGAGAGAGAAGAGGGAACTTTCTGAGTTAAGCATTTTGTAAGACATGTCAACAATGATTATTTAAAAACAATGAGATATCAAACCCAAAGCTTTGTGTCATGAAGGATCTTTCAGATGGCAGATGAAATCATCTTCTCTAGATCTCGTGTTAGCAGAAACGTGATTCTAACAATATCTGTACCATCGACGGTACTCACACGTGGATAGGAAAGTATCTGAAATAATCTTTATCTTTCAGCAAAGAAACCCCCAAAAGTCTCTTCCCAACATGCTTTTCTAACCCTGTGGGAGACAGCAGGCTGAGATTTCCCAGCTGATTCAGACAGCAAACCCTCACTGCCCAGGACTAACAATATGCCAAGGACACAGCATGACAGCAGCAGCAGATACCATTGCAAAATGTGAACACAATGGGCCAAGGATATTGCACCATGGTAGATGGGGTGGATGCCACATCTACCTGGCATGCATGAGGCCCTGAGTTTAATACCGAGCAACATAGCAAAAACAAAAAGCATGATTCTAACCAGGAAACCTAACAAATATACCCACAAAAATAAAAATTCAATATAAAAGTATAGCCTCACTAATGAGCACAAACAAAAAACTAAAATGAAAAACAGGCAACCAGCGAAGCATCAAAAACACAGTGTAAGCAGGGTTTAATTAACATTGGAAACATAGAGCAGCTGCACTTTAGGGACTGTTACTAATAACCAGAGATAATTCACATCAATTGTTCCATTGCATTTTTTTGTTTTGTTTTGTTTTGTATTTTAGGGAAGGGTCTACAGGGTGTTTAGGGTCTCACTACTAGGTCAGACTAGTAGTGATCCGCCTGCTTACAGCCTCCCAAGAGCTGGGATTACAGGTGTGCATCACCACACCCAGTCTCAATCCCTGTCTCAGCGTGCCCCAGGGGCAGGGCCGGCCTAGCAAGCCCAGGGATAGAACCCTGGTCCTGTGCCTGCTTGCAGGCACTTTAATCCGCTGAGCTATTTGGCCAGCCCACATTTTAGTTTTTTAGATAAAATATAGAATACCCACCAGGTAGAAGTCACCAGGAGCTGCCTAGTTTTTCTGGGCCCCTTCACTAACTTAAAGATAGATGCCAAGCAGGGTGACCTCACAAGGTTCACTTTATAAATGCAATCCCACCCCTCCAGGAAAACAGTAATAAGCATCTTTCAGAGTCTGCCCGAGCAGTGTGAATTCTACATACCGTTCTCAGTCACAGCCAGAGTCTGGGCATCCCCACTGCCACATGCAACGTCAATGACTTTCAGTCCTTTAAGACCAGCCACCAGCATTGGAATGGCCTCATCTTCACTAGAACCTTTAAACAGACATACGTGTCATTATTCATCCTCTCCAGGGTGGACAGCGCCGTCACATTTCCTGCTCCATGCGGTAAACATACCATGGCCCAGCCGGCCGTAGTTTCCTCGGCCCCAGGTGTACAGCTCCCCCTCAGCAGTGATGGCTGCGCTGTAGGTGCTGCCGCAGGCGATGTGCACCACATGCTTCCCTCCCTGTTTCCCTGAAAAGGCAGAGATCACCCTTGGCTCCTCCAGAGGCCTGTGGGAAGAAGGGAACAGATATGACTGGCCTTCTAGGCACTTCTCATGTTTGGCAGAGGACCGTCCTCATCTGCACTAGACTATCATAGTATCAAGACAGCTTCACCTTTCAGGGATCTTATGGAATATCCAAGAGAAAACCCAACACTGACACTGCTAACACCTCTGTTAATCTGGACGCCAACACCACCCTGAAGTGTCCAGCAGGAATATCTGTGGGAGGCCATTAACTGGTCCCCATTTTATAATAGTGTCAGCTATTTTCTTAAGTTTCTATTCCCCTGCTGAGTTAAGTTTATGGTCCTTCTCACCTTGCCTATTCCCCGTGAATCACGTGCTATGCCCCAGGGGTTGCACCTTCGCCCGTTGCCTAGATACCTGCTGACCCCAAGAGCCGAGACTTCCTGTCACAGCCCGGTTGCCTAGTTACTCGTGCCTTTTACCTGCTGACGTCATTTCCCTATGCCTCCACTACATATACCCAGCACCTCCCCTGAATAAACGAGACTTGATCAGAATCCTGTCTTGTCTCCATTTCTCGCGTCTCCTGTCCTTTGTCCCCTCTTCAATGCCCCGCTCCTCTCCCAGGTGACCTTCGTTGACTGACCCGCTGGTTCAGGACAAATATCCAAACAGTTTCCATTAGAATCTCATACACGAAAGCATACACCGGCTCTATGCACAGTGCCCCAAACATGGTCCGGTAGGAGCAAGGGGAATAAAGACCCGTAAGAATGACTCAGAAAACTCTATGTGAAATAAAAGATGCCAGAAACAAAATCCTATGTTGTAAAATTGTGTTTAGATTCAATTTTGGAAAAAGCAAAACAGTATCAACAGAGGACAGAGCAGAGAGTTCCAGGAGCTACAGATAAGAAGGGATTAACTGTAAAGGTACAAACAGATTCCAAAAGGCAGTGAAAACACCCTCTGTCTCAATTGTGGTAATTCCAACAGCATGCATTCACAAAAGTCAGTTATACCCTGCAAACTGATGCATGTAAGTGCATGTAAACGTTACAAAGGGTGTGGAATTTAATACATATATGTACAAATGTATTTATGAAATAAATGTGGACAGAACGAAGCAAGCAGGCTTTCCTAATGCACACTGTAATCTGCAGTTTATAAAGGAAGTATGAGTCAGCAAGGATTAAATAGAAATTCTGCTCTTATAATCCAGAAAAATTTCCAAGGATGAGTAACACTTCATGAACAATGGTGCACACCCACTCTGACCTCTCCGAGACATTTACTTACAGTGTGACCATCAGCAGCTCAGACTCACACAGTAACAGCCAATGACTCTGCTCTGCACAATTTCCCCCTAACGTGCTTGGCTCAACTAAACTCTCCCCGAAGTTTTTCTCCAACTCCTGCCATCAGAACACCCACCCTTCTCCTTCCAAAACTCTTAGAGCCAGAGACAAGCTGCTTACTCTAGCACTTCACCTCAACTAAGGTTGTTCTCTCAGGAAACACTTAGACCTACTAAATTAAAAATACCATCCCGTACTTCAGTGCCTCTCAAGTGCCATGCACCCCGTGCCAAGCCCACTCCCTTCCAGGGTACGCACAATGAAAACAATCTTCAGCTCCTCTGGGGGTTTTCTTTTTTGTGGTACAGGGGCATGAGCCTACGGCTTTCACACTGAGCTACATCCCAAGCCCTTTTCTTATTCTTCATTTTGTGAGTCATGCTAAATTTCCCAGCTGGGCTTGAACTTGAGATCCTCCTGCCTCCTGCCTCCTGCCTCCTGCCTCCCTCCAGAGTGCTGGGATTATAGGTCGAGTTTAACTCTTTTTCACTACAGATTCATCACTTGTGTTTAATCTCTTCCAATCCTGCTACACTGAGGGGCATTTCCAGGTTCTTGTATGAATAAGACACCACATGAGTCACTGCTTTTCTGCCCATTTGGGATTCTTCCCTACACGTGTCTTGAGCTATAATGTCTCCATCTACTTACACCCCTTACTGTGAGCAGGCCACACGCCTTTGTCTCCTCTCCAGCTACGGAGGCAGGCAGGACTGTAGTCACTTCTACTCCTGCTCATTACTGACCACATGAAGTCAGTCTGCTAGCTTGCCACACGCATACAATTGCAATTTCTACCAGATACTAAAGGCTTTAACACCAGGATCCATACACAACACCAAAGTAAAAAAGGAGTTCTGCTGTGATCACAGAAATGGCAGAACTCTCAATTTTACAACTGGGCATTTGTAACAACTGCTTTTTGTTTGATTTCTATTTTGTTACATTAATCCACAGCTTCCACAAAATAAAGGTAAAAACTGTTTTATCTTTGTCCTGTGAGGATAATACAGTCCAAGAAAAAGGGGACCTTACTGGTTAGTGATATGTGAAGTATTTATTAATGAAAAGACAGCACTTGGATTTGCTTTAGAAGATATGGCGGAGGACGCAACTGCTGGCTGTGCTGGAGAGAGCAGGAGGGCCGACTACTGCTGGCTATTGGGAGAAAGCAGGAGGGCCGACTGCCATAACCTCCTACTTGTAGACCAAGCTCCTGAGGAGTCGTGAAGGCTGCACACAAGACGGTACCCCTCACTGCCTGAGCTCTACATTCTGGAGCAACTGAATGACCTTTCCCATCCTTTTGCAGATACAGCCACAGAGGACAGAATGTCACATGCAAGAATGAGCTGTACATACACAGTGTCCCCGTGGCCCAGTCGTCCACCGTCCCCACAGCCCCAGGAATACACCTCTCCAGTGGCAGCCAAGGCCAGATAGTGATGACCATCAGAATGGGCAGCAATTTTTACAATATTTCTGGAGGCAAGACCTTGGACCAGTTGTGGGGCCTAAAAAGGTAAAAACAGGAAGAAAATTAGGATAAGTCTAATGATAATGAAAAGAGCAGAACTCTTCCCAGTCATTTCTCTGTCCTGAATAAGCCTGTGCTAACTGAAAGACCAGGAACCTTCAGAGAGGCGAGGGCAGCTCTCCAGCTCACCTTTCCTAACACCAGCAGGAGAACAGACAACTTCTAAGTCATTGCAGGCATGGTCAGTGCTAGTGCTGGGCAGCAGAGGCTGCTTCTGTAAAAAGTGACACACAGCTCTCCCTAGTAAGACTATGCATGCCACAAGGTGCTATCATGCTCCTCAGACTCACTCCAGCTGGCCGCAAGGGTAAGTGAGCTCATATACTAAGCGGTAACATTTACAAACAGAAATTATAATCAACATAAGCATTTCCTGGGGACAGCCAGATAGCTCAGTGGACTAAAGCACCTGCATGTTGTGCCGGCCTCGCTCCCAGGGCACAATGAGACAGGGACTGATACTGGGCGTGGTGGCAAGCGCCACTTGGGAGGCTGAAAACAGGAGGTTTACTACAAATCTGATCTGTGCAGTGAGTCCCTGCAGACCCTGTACTAAATACCTAAGAAAAAAAATGAAGAAGCATTTCCTGATTTTAATACCCTGAAATCTTGACAATAAGGCTAACAATGGAGATGATTAAATATAACTAATAATATACAATTTTTTTAGTATTTATTTATTTGTGTTTGTGTGTGGCCAGCTCAGCCCACCAGGGGGCGGGGCTGGCTGGCATGTGGTGCTGGGGGATTGAACCGTGGTCCCTGTGCTTTGCCAAGCTTGCTCCAAGTAGGTGCTTTAGACCACTGCGCCATCTCACCAGCCCCACTAATAATATACAATTAACAGATGCTGATCAGTCATTAAAAGCAAGTAGACCCTGTGGCATCTGTGGGAGAGACCATGTACAGTGAGGGAAGCACACAGGCACACTGCCCACAACACCTACCAGGGTGTCGCTGTTGTAGGCCTGCGTATACACTCGGCCACTGCGGGACAGGATCAGGAAGCGCTTCTCTGCACATGCAACCTGTGTGACCCCAAGGTTGGCAAGGCCTTCACACTGGATTGGGCCGATTACATTGGCATAGTATTTCCATCCTATTAACCCCCAACCTATGACCTCCTGCAATGATCCCTGCAAGATAAGAAAGCAAGTAAATGTTTTTATAGCAAGGAATTGCTGAGGAGGAATATCGACATACTCTAAGCTGAAAACAAAGCAAGGAAAGAAAGCAGCTGATACAAACAACCAAATAGAATATCCCATATTACCTCAGTTAACAAGAAAGAATTGGCTATTTTTCTACAGTATTTCATTATGACAGACCTGGCTTTCCAATGTATTTTTCAAATGCTCAAATGACATCACATTCTCATTTTGTCCCAGTATAGGCAAAACCTAAAAAAATCTAAGTACAAAGCTGGGAGACAAGCATCCCTAAAACCAGGGTAAAAGGGATTAAGCTACAAAGAAGCAACATGGAGATAACAAGCCCACTCAGGTCATTTCTCTGACGCACAGACACACACACACACACACACACACACACACACCCCACATCAATCACCATGGCAGTGTCTGAGTAGCAAAGTTTTGGCAGCAAGTGTTCACCAATATGAGACTCATTTAAAAAATAAGCTCTAGGTCCATGTACACATGGCACACTAAACACCTAAAAACTGAGAAGCTCTGTCTCACACAGAAAACTCTCTTTTTAGTAAGAAAAATAAAGTACATAATAAGTTAACATGCTACAACTAAACGTTCATTCCAGAGAACAGCAAAAGCTTAGAGAGGCAAACAAAAATGAAAACAAGCAATGGAGACACTGGGTAAATGAAGGTCAGAGGGGCAAGTGACAGTGTATCTCTGTGTACAATTTAGGTTACTGAACCATGTGACTATATTAGTTACTTTTGAAAATATTATTGTAAAGTTTAACAAGTGCTGTTTATATTTAAAGAGAAAAAACCTGGACTCAGAATCAGAATCACACTGTATGACCCAGACAAAGTTCATTAAGATCCCAAATTGTGGCTTTCCCCTGGATGTGCTGAAGGAAAGTCATTACGATGAGAGAAAGCATGTATGTAGGTTGGTGATGGGCTGGCATGGTGCCCTCCACACAGGGAGATCTCTACTATTACCATTATACAATGGTCCCTATACAACGCATAACTAGACTGTCATTATTACATGACATACCAAGACAACTCATGTTCAGAGTATATTAAAAAGGCTCTAAGGGCCGGCCAAATAGCTTGGCAGATTAAAGTGCCTGCAAGCAGGCACAGGGCCCAGGGGTCTGATCCCTGGGCCTGCCATGCGGCCCCCCCATGCCCCCCCCCCACCCTGGGGCACCCTGAGATCACAATTGAGCCTGGGCGTGGTGGTGCACGCCTGTAATCCCAGCTCTTGAGAGGTTATAAACGGGCAGATCACTAGGAGTCCCATCTAGTAGTGAGACCCTGAACGCACTATAGACCCTTCCTTAAAATACAAATAAATAAATAAATAAATAAAGCTCTAGGCTAGAGAGGCAACTCAGTGGTAGAACACATGTTTAGCATGTATAAGACCCTGGGCTTGATCACTAGCACTTCTAGCAGCAGAAAAAATAGCCCTGGAACGTCTCTGCAAAAGGCAGAAAGGTTGTAGCTGTGCTGATATAGGTCCTCTCTCTGGGAACCCCAGTCTGGGTCCGAAGCCCTGTGCATCTCAGCTTGCTCACTAGTTACTCTGACCCTGACAACATCTTAAACTATTTTAAACATGTTTTTAAAATATAAGTCAGGGGGCCGGGGAGATGGCTCAGTGGAATAGGCGCTTCCCTGGCAAGCGCCAAGGGCCTGAGTTCAATCCCTGGTTCCGCAAAAAAATAAAATAAAGTAAGTCAGGCTCAAATGGGTAAGGGAACAAGGAAGGGGTTAGGGAAAAAGTAAATAAAAAAAAAGAGAAAAGAAGGAAAAACTGAAAATAAAGCTTTTGCAAAGGAGGGGAGGAGAGGTGAAAGGGGGGATAGGGTGATGGGAAAAGAAAAATCAAGTTATATCATGTACAAATATAAATTCTCTACGATGAATGTGAGCAATGTATATGTGAAACATACCAATAAAATCTGAGTTTTAAAAAAATCTAAGTCAACTCCCACCACAATAACGAAAGTAAGTCTACACACACAGACTGAGCCTCTGGGAGTCTAACTGGAACATACAGAGAACACTGCTCTAAGGGCCAGAGCACAGCGCAGCAGGAAAGCACTTCCCCACCATGTTTAAGGGTCTGAGTTCAATCCCCAGCACTGCAAGAAAAAAATGACACTTCAATACATACCTTATGAGACGTTGGGGAGCTACACAGAGGCGGCATACAGGGAGTAGCCAGGCGGTCTAAATGGGCCATGACGACAACTGCAGTTTGTCTTAAATCAATGGCAAGCTCATTGTCTTGAGGAAGAGTAAGGTACCTCAGGAAACTCTCATTGGGACTCAGAGGCCCAGATAAAAGCTAGATTACGTAAGCAAACAAACAATTAGAATGGTGAAGAAAAGTTGCACAATTAGTCTCTAAATCCTCTTTACATTTGTTACTTCTACCTGTAAATTTCATTTTGGCCATCAAATGACAATCCTGATGATACAATTACACTGTCCATCTTTACATGTAAACATCACTGCAAAATGCACACAACACTGGCTGGCTGTGCCTGTGTATATTCACTGGGCTGCACACACACTGACCTCTCTGTGCAGACTGCACAGGGCTTCCTACTACAGCCGAACTACTGTACAGGCATGCTGCCCCAGAGCGCGACATGAGCACAGAACGGGCTCCACTAACAGAGTACAGCACCTCAACTTTGCTCTGACAACTAAAAACAAAAACATTGCATTTTAATGTGAATGATGCCCACTTTGGAGAAAACTCAATTTTACTGGCAAATTAAGTCCTCGTTCTAACAGTTCCAAAGGCAAAGAAACCTTATCATTTAAGCATGCCAAATAACAGGTAGAAAGGGCCATTGCTGGATGGCTCTGTTGCTCCCAGAAAAAGACAAAATCCAATATGCACTGTAAAGAGCAACAGTCCTGAAGTCCCAGCCCAGGCAGACACCCTTCCACTGACCCGGCTCAGCCTCCTCACTGGCAAAGAGTGTGGCTGGGACTAAACAGACACCAGTCAGGTGACGCACTCATATTGCCTGGCCCAAGGGCACCGCAACGCCATCCAGCAATGGCCCTTTCTACTGTTCTTTCTAGTATTTAATTTCAGGTGTGTGTTTCAAACTTGAGCCTGTACTGACAGTTTGTGCTTGTTGATCCAAGTCTCTTCTATGAGCAGCACAATGGAAGAGAAAAAGAACAGAGCCCCACTGGCCTGTCCTCAGCAGGAACTACTGCTGGGAACAGAAAGAAGACTGCATGTGTGGGTAGGTTTTATCAACAAGAACAAAGATCTTCTCAGTATGGAGACTGCTCAAGACACTGGAAATCGAAAGCCCATTTTACCCAACTACCTCTCCTGGATACATTCCAAAAGAGTTAAAGTCATCATACTACAGTGATACACGCAGTACGATTCACAACAGCAAGGCTCAAGGAACAGCCTAGATGCACATGCGTTGACAATGGATAAAGAATACGTAATACACAAACGAAATTGAACTTTATTCAACCACTAAGCAAGGAATTCACATCATTCAGAGGAAAATGCATGACTCTTGATCCCATAATGTAAAGTAAAATAAGCCAGAAATGGAGAATTAACTACCACATAGTTTCTCTAATATGAGAAGCCCAAAATATAAATAAATTAAAGAGTAAAATAAAAGAGAGATGGTAGGAAATAAAGAGGCAGATTGTTTGAAGATGAAAAAGGGTTATCAGGCAAAGCAGGGAGGCGGCAGCGGGGGGACTCACGGATAGAAAGTGGTGAAAATACAGTATGTATGTGCCCACTCCTCAAAACAAAGGCAAATACTAACAAAAGAGATTTCCTGCTGGGGCCCGTCATTTCATGAGGCCATGTGGCCTCTTCCTACACCGACCTTAGCCTCAGTCCTCCACGGCACCACTGCAGGTGCTGACAATCCACAGCTCGTGCTGTGCTCTTCCAACAGTGTCAGGATTTCTATCACCCTTTATTCTCCTACTAACTCCCTCCTTCATAGAAGGAACCATGCCTTCATTACACGTTCCATCACATGAATATGGTCTGAGGACTGAACCCAGGGCCTTGGCACTGAGCTACATCTCCATGTCCTTTTTTCACTTTTTTTTATTTTGAGCAAGGTCACGCTGAATTGACACCACTGATTTTGAACTTGATCCCCTTGCCTTGCAGATTTTGCATTTAGGATTTGTTAAAGGATCCACAGATTAATTACCAACTCAGTTTATTTTTTAATTTTACATGTTTTTTTAATTTATTTTTTCTTTTTGTGGCCAGCTCAGCCCACCCTGGGGGCGGGGTTGGCATGGCTTGTGGTGCTGGGGGTTGAACCTTGGTCCCTGTACTTGCCTAAGCAGATGCTTCAGTCTGCTGAATTACTCTCTGGCTCCCCCAACTCACTTTAATACTGGGCTAGTGTCTAGACTAAATGATGGTCTCAAAAACTGCTTCTAATATTATATATTACAGGACAACATGATTTCTGGAGATATTAAAAAAGTTTGTTAGAATTTTATAATTTCAGTAGGAGGAATCCAAAGTATTATAATATGCACATCATAAACACTACATGGAAATCATGGCAGGGGGCCTGCCCTTTGGCTCAGTTATTTAAGTGCCTGCTTAAGCAAAGCAGGCTCAGGATTCTGTGGCTGGATCCCCACATCCTCGTGCCTTACCAGACCTGCCCTTAAGGCATCCTGAG